ATGGCCAAGCTGCCTAAAGCCATCTACAGATTCAATACAATTCCTATCAAAATACCAACAGCATTCTTCAATGAACTGGAACAAATAGATCTAAAATTCATATGGAACAACAAAAGACCCCAAACAGCCAAAGCAATCCTGAGAAGGAAGAATAAAGCAGGGGGATCTCGCTTCCCAACTTCAAGCTCTACTACAAAGCCACAGTAATTAAGACAATTTGGTACTGGCACAAGAACAGACCTATAGACCAGTGGAACAGAATAGAGAGTCCAGATATTAACCCAAACATATATGGTCAATTGATGTACAATAAAAGAGGCATGGATATACAATGGGGAAATGACAGTCTCTTCAACAGCTGATGTTGTCAAAACTGGACAGCTACATGTAAGAGAATGAAACTGGACCATTGTCTAACCCCATACAGATAAGTAAACTCGAAATGCAAGAAAGACCTGAATGTAAGTCATGAAACCCTAAAACTCTTAGAAAAAAACATAGGCAAAAATCTCTTGGACATAAACATAAGCAACTTCTTCATGAACCTATCTCCCTGGGTAAGGGAAACAAAAGGAAAAATGAACAAGTGGGACTATATCAAGCTGAAAAGCTTCTACATAGCAAAGGACACCATCAATAGAAAAATAAGGCATCTTACAGTATGGGGGAGAATATATTCATAAATGACAGATCCAATAAAGGGTTGACATCCAAAATATATAAAGAGCTCATGCACCACAACAAACAAAAAGCAAATATGCCAATTAAAAAATGGCAAAGGATCTGAACAGACACTTCTCCAAAGAACAAATTCAGAGAGCCAACAGGCACATGAAAAAATGCTCCACATCGCTAATCATCAGAGAAATACAAATTAAAACCATAATGAGATATCACCTCACACCAGTAAGGACGGCCACCATTGAAAAGACAAACAACAACAAATGTTGGCGAGGATGTGGAGAAAGGGGAACCCTCCTACACTGCTGGTGAGAATGTAAATTACTTCAGCCATTGTGGAAAGCAGTATGGAGGTTCCTCAAAAAACTCAAAATAGAAATACCATTTGACCCCGGAATTCCACTCCTAGGAATTTACTCTAAGAATGCAGCATCCCAGTTTGGAAAAGACACATGCACCCCTATGCACCTCTATGTTTATTGCAGCACTATTTACAATAGCCAAGAAATGGAAGCAACCTAAGTGTCCATCAGTAGATGAATGAATAAAGAAAATGTGGTACATATACACAATGGAATATTAGAATATTATTCAGCCATAAGTAGAAAACAAATCCTACCATTTGCTCAGTGAAATAAGCCAGGTGGAGAAAGACAAGTACCAAACGATTTCACTCATATGTGGAATATAAGAACAAAGGAAAAACTGAAGGAACAAAACAGCAGCAGACTCACAGAACCCAGGAATGGACTAACAGTTATCAAAGGGAAAGGGACTGGGGAGGATGAGTGGGAAGGGAGGGAGAAGAGGGGGAAGAAGAAAGGGGGCCTTACGATTAACATGTATAAGTTGGGGGGTGGGACACGGGGAGGGCTGTGCAACACGGAGAAGACAAGTAGTGATTTTACAGCATCTTACTACACTGATGGACAGTGACTAATGGGGTATGTGGGGGGGGGGCTTGATGAAGGAGGGAGTCTAGTAAACATAATGTTCCTCATGTAATTGTAGATTAATGACACCAAAAAAAAATGCGCATAGGATATGAACACACAATTCTCTAAGGAAGAAATTCAGATGGCCAACAGGCACATGAAAATATCCTTCATATCAATAATCATCAGGAAAATGCAAATTAAAACCACAATGAGATATCACCTCACACCAGTTAGGATGGCCAACATCGAAAAGACTAAGAACAACAAATGCTGGCAAAGATGCAGAGAAAGGGAAACCCTTGTATACTGTTGGTGGTAATGTAAATTACTTCAACCATTGTGGAAAGCAATATGGAGGTTCCTCAAAAGGCTAAAAATAGAAATATCATTTGATCTGGGAATCCCACTCCTAGGAATTTACCCAAAGAAAACAACTTTTCAGATTCACGAAGATATATGCACCCCTATGTTTATTGCAGCACTGTTTTCAATAGCCAAGATATGGCAGCAACCTAAGTATCCATCAGTAGATGAATGGATAAAGAAGATGTGGTACATATACACAATGGCATACTATTCAGCCATAAGAAAGAAACAAATCCTACCATTTGCAACAACATGGAGGGAGCTGGAGGATATTATGCTCAGTGAAATAAGCCTGGCAGAGAAAGACAAGAACCAAATGATTTACCTCATTTGTGGGGTACAATGACAAAGCAAAACTGAAGGAACCAAACAGCAGCAGACTCACAGACTCAAAGAAGTGACTAGGGGTTACCAAATGGGACTGGTTGGAGAGGGTAGGTCAGGAGAGAGGGAGAAAGGGATGGACGGGTATTATGCTTAGTACACAGGGTAATATGAATGAGTTTCTCTGTAGTGATGGAACATTCCTACATGGAACATGATGGAAAAATGTGGTGTTGGTTACATGACTCTATGTACGTGCAGCACAAAGAAGACAAATAGTGAGTGTGGCATCTTACTATACTGATGGACAGTGACTTCATTGGGGTATGGGGGGGACTTAATATGTGTGAATGTTGTAACCACATTGTTTTTCATATGAAACCTTCATAAGAGTGTATATCAAGATGCCTTACTAAAAAATAAGATGTCATTTCTCTCCGATTAATGTTTAGTAATGAATGTATAAATTCAACATAATTACAACAAAATCCTGACCATATATTTATGAAATCTCACAGGCTGACTGTAAATGGGCTAAAACTAACAAAAACACCATGAAAAGTAAGATAGGAGGAATTAACCTACCAGACAGCAAGACTTATTAAAAAGCTATAGTATATAAAAACAGTGTGATACTGGTGCAGGGATAAGCAAATTCTAAAATGGAACAGAGTCCAGAAATTAACCCATACATACACTGAAACTCAAAATATGATAGGTGGCATTCTAATTTGAGGAAAATGATGAACTATCCAATGAATGGTACCAAGTCTGATGGTTATGCATTTAGAAATAAATAAAAATAGATCCACATCTCCCAACACTTACAAAATCACTCCCAGATTAAAGATCTAAAAGTAAAAAGGAATATCTCTTTTAACTTATAGAAGAAGTCTGAACATTTTATGATCTTGACAGAAGGAAGTTCTTAAATCAGATACACATGCACATAAGCCATACAAAAAAGACTGATAAAACTATACCACAATTTATAAAATTATAATTAAAGGCTACTTATACTCTTGAAATGAAAAAATTACAGTGATAGAAAGCAGATCAGTGGTTGCTAGGGGCTAAGGCTGGAGGGAGGGTAATATGAATGAACTTCTCTGTAGTGATGGAACATTCCTACATGGAACATGACAGAGAAATGTGGTGTTGGTTACATGAATCTACGTATGTGACAAAATTTCATAAGCACTATACAACAATACTAGAAGAGTACATGTAAGAACTGATGAAATCTGAATCTGAATACATGTAGTTTACTTAACAGAATTGTACCAATGTCTACTTCTTGGATTTGAAATATACTCCAGTTATTTAAGATATTATTGGTGAAGAATAGATGGGAACTTTGTTATTTTTTTTTACCAATTCAGACTTAAATTATCTCAAAATTAAAGTTTTCAAAAAAGTAGCAGCCCACAAACTGTAAGACAGACATGATACATTTAACTGACAAAGAATTCACTTATAATTTTTTATAAATGAACAAGAAAAAGAAAAGCAGGCAAAAAATTTGAACAGGCAATTCATAGAAGAGGAAACATCAATGCCAATCAACCTTACAACACATGAAAAGATGCTCCAATTCAATGCTAATCAAGTTAAAACCACTGTGAGAGGCCATTTCATGCCCAAAAGACAGTCAAAAACTGAAGTCTTTGTTACAGCAGCCATAGTGAACTAAAGCAGCAACTGTGGAGAACAATTTGGCATTACCTAGTAAGGCTGAACAAGCGTACACTGACTCAGCTACGCCACTCCTAGTTGTTCATCTTGGAGTAGTTAAGTGCTTATATGTCCAAAGACACTGCTATGAGAATGTTTATAGTTGTATTTTTTAACAGTCAAAATTGGTAAAAAAGTAAATGTCCAACAAAATAGAATGGATAAGTGAATTATAATTACATATATAATACAAAAAAATCATATAGCAGTAAAAATGAGTGAATCAACAATGAATACATATATCAACATGGATAAATCTTACAAACTCAGTGTCAGTAAGGAGAGCAAATTACAGAAGGATATACATAGTATGATGACATGGATAGAAAGTTTAAAAATATGCCAAACAACACTATAGATGGATAAGGGATTCATATATATGAAGTAAAACAGAAAGTCATGCAACGAGAATTACAAACTCCTAATTTTTAAAAACAGTTTCCTTTGGGCAGGGAGGTAGGAAGGTATAGAATACAGTCAGGGAAGGGGAAATGGGATTTCAGTTGATTTACGTTTTTTTCTTAAGCTGGGATATTAACACATGAATACATCTTATTATTTTTCATAACTTGCTGTCATCTTAATTCTTGGGTCATTTTTTCCAATTATGGGAATTGGAGAGGTGGAGATAATTAATTATGCTTAGCCGAAGAGAAACTGGAGATGTATCTAGAAGGGCAGGTGCAGTTTTTAAGATGAAGAAGAGAGAAAGAAGCTTATGAATGAGGAAAACAGGATGGAAAAGGCAAGCTAAGTGAAAGGAAAGGAGGAAAGAGACAAGGATACTAGGAAAGTCTCTCCCTCAACTGAAGAGGATATTCTAGAAGGTGGGTCATGCCAGGCAGCCTTACCAAGGACCTGGGAGGCCTGGAGAAGAGCATCCCCCTAGTACCTGAGAGATGCCTCCTTCCCAGTAAGCCAAGCTGAGCAAGGTCCCGTCTACAGTGTCTCACTCACCTGGACAGAGGCCGAGTGGATGCTGTTTCTCCTCTATCCAGGGCTCTTCCCCTTGCTCCAGCTGAGAAATGAGTTTTGGTTTGGAAAATGGAATTTCTGCTCATAGGAAAGAAAACAAGGAGACTCTTGGTTATGAGCTCAAGGGGCCATTCCAGAACTCACGGCCAAAATGGGTAGGGAAACCCAGAGGGTGGTAAACAGGACCTATGAATAGTGACTTCTCTACAATAGGAAGCTTGAGTAAGAAAATTGCCTCCTATTAGAAAACCAGTGTATTTACACTTGGGGAATAAAAACCTCCTGGGTTTGGAGGGAGATAAAGTAAGACAGCCCCAGGCTTGGGAAAGAGGGCTGGAAATGCAGAGTATCATACAAAATATGAAACTCTACTAAATCCAGATTTATTCTGAGGGAAAAGGTAAATTATTGGTTTAAGCCCAACACTCAGACCAAGCTGCTTCATGGGTAGCCTTTCCTTGTGACATGTAGAAAATACTCCACGGGGCAGATTGAGTGCTAAAGGAAGCCATCCTTACCCAGTGAGACCAGGTGGGTGTAGGTCTCCAGCATCACTTCCCTGTGCAGGGTCCTCTGAGCAGGGCTCAGCAACCGCCACTCCTCCCGGGTGAAGTCCACAGCCACATCCCTGAATGCCACAAACGCCTTCAACACAAAACAAAGCCCTGCTCACCCAGGAGTCTGCCTGCCACAGCTCAGGGTGAGGGATCAAACAGCTTCCCTGAGGGACAAAGAGGTTTCTAAAACCTAATTTAAATGGTGAAAAAAGGGTAGCAGAATAGGCCACTCCAAAACATTCCATTTTGGAATAAGTATTTTTTTCTGCTGAAGGCAATTAAGTAGCAGCGGATGCAAGAAAAGCTCTGTCCTTCTATTTGCCTAAAAGCAGAAAATATATTTTTGAAGGTGTCCCTGTTCCGCTCTACCAGGAGAATAGCAGTTGTATCACTGAAGACAACCACATCTTACCAGCCAGGAAAGAGAACCAGAGCAAGCTACTCAACTAACATTAATAACCAGCCTCAGCTTTCACCTGTTCCCCATCTATTTTCCCTACCACAATTTGCCACCCCAGAAACTCACAATCCTTCTCCTTTCTCTTGTCACTTCTCTAAAAAGTTATTACTTTTTTGTTAAGTTGCTATATGAGCCCACCCACCCCTCTGAGTTACTCATCACAGAGTACTCCTGTGGGTATGCATGTACATGTTAATAAACTTGTTTGTTTTTCTCTTGTTAATGCATCTTTTGTCTCTAATTTACAGGGCTCCGGCCAATGAACCCAAGATAGTAATATTTTCCCACCCCTACGTGACCTTGGTGCCAAGAGTCCAAAGACCATTACTCTCCTATCTCTACTGGGCCAGCATCACTTGCATCCCTGTAACTGTCAACATCCTAGGCTAGCCCTTAGGGGGATAAAAGCAAAACAGAACAAAACCCCCTTCACATCAGGAGCTTTTAAATCTAGGTGGGGAGAAGACACACACACATACACACATACACACAAATTACACAGTAAAAAATAATCATCTTGCTGAGTTTGAAGAATATCAGAGATTACTTGGTCTAAGCATTTATGTTCTACACGAAGCAGCTGAGTCTCTGGGGGTGAACAGCCCACCCACGTGTACATTTCACAGCAGGAATCCTTCCTTCCCCTCCCTCACATGCCACTGCCCTGCCCGGGACTGAGGAAGGCAAGTGGGTGGTGGCAAAGAGCATGGACTCAAACCACACTACCTGCATCTGGAACTCACCTGTCCTCAACTAGTGTACCCTTAGGCAAATTGGTGAGCCTCTCAGCATCTCAATTTCTTCTGCAAACTGAAAAAAAGAGTGCTTATTTCACAGGGTCAGAGTTGCTTGTGTATCAGTTAAGTTGATAAATGTCAGGACTCAAAAAACAACTGCACACAGTAAGTGCTCTGGGGGGACTGTTTGATGTAAATTCCATCTTCTCACTTGGTTCTTACTCATTTCTCCTGCTTCACTATATCCCCTTAACTCTCGATAATGCATGTGTTATTCATTTTTATTTCCTGACTCGCCACTGGACTCTAAGTAAGTTCCATATATATTGTTTACTGTGTTGGCCCCAGTGCCTAAAATAGAGCGTGCAGATACTAAGCCATCAAATACGTTTTTAGATGATGGAATATGCATTTGTTATTAATATTCCACTAACAAATGACCCTCTGCTACCTAGAAAGCTGTACTTTGGAGGGTGGGAATATATAATGGTCTTTGGTAGGGATGTTTTGGTGACGTGTCCTGGGTTGGAGGTGTGTAGAAACCAAGCCCAAATGCACCAGGTCTGAGATCCAGGTCTGAGATTCTTCCTAGCCCGATAATCCTGGCCCTAAAAGGGCACAATCTGCCCTTTAGTCACAGACAGGATTAGTTTGACCCATACACTGCAGTTCTTTATATTAATTATATATTAAGACAGTTCATATGAAAATATAAACTTATAGATCCTGTTGAAAAATCCGTAAGTCTGACCACTCTGGGCTTTGCACTATTGCAGAGCCATAGCTGGCTGAATGTGACTTATACTAGGGGTCCACTAGCCTAGGCAGGTTACTGACAGATTGCTGCAATTCCTACCGTATCAATTTCACTTAGCAGGTACATGACTGGTCCCCTTCTCAGAACACCATCACTCCTGGAAGGGTGGCAACGTATCTCGCAAACTAATTCTATGCTGTGCCCTCCCCGTGGCTTTTACCCTCTTGGAAAACCCTCTCCTATAGCTCCTGTCCCCTACCAGCTCAACTGTTCTACACTGGATGGGCTGTGGAATGGCTTAAGATACCACCCCACCTTGCCCCCACCTACAGTTAATAGCAATCACTGTACTCAGCCCACTCTACTGTAATTAGTCACAAATAAAGAGCACAGAGAGGACAAGAGCTATGGTTCTCACCCCTCATCCCTGGCTGTATTTGATAACTGTGGTGTTTTAAATTATGGATTCCTGGGGCCCACTAAAAAACAATAAATTATCAGGCTTTCTGGAAATAGGGCTATTATACTATTAAAGGCTCCTGAGTATAGTCATGGTTGTGAATCACTGCGTCAGAGGAATCTCAAAGGGAGAGTGTCTTGCCAGTGGGTTTAAGCCCCAGGCAAATTCACTATGGATTCAATGTGACCAAAGAAATTGACAGCAAAACGTTCTTTGGGTTGAAAGGGTTTATTAGGGGGCTTGTTCTCCAGCGGTAGGTCAAGCACTACTGTCTCTGCCTCTGCCTAGAGCACTGGGCAGAGCTCTCTATATAATGCAGTAATAGCTTATTACCTCAAGGTGTGGAAGCAGTAGCCTAGCAACAGGCCAGTTACATCATCAGGTGGTTTTAAGTTCAGTGAGGACCCTGGCCATAGGAACCCCAACTTCTCCACACTCCACCCCTCCAGGATTCTCGCCTTACAATCTACACATTTTCATTCTACAATGGTCCCTGTGCGAGAAAGCTGGAGCACTGTAACCAGATTCCACAACAGCAACAGAGGATAACAATTTAGAGATAATAAAAATTAGGATACAACAATATTTTGATACAGGTAACAAAAATTAAAATAATCCTCAAGCCAGAGGAGGTTCCTAATAACAAAAAATTATAATAATCCTCAAGCCAGAGGAATTTCCCAATCCACAAAGACTTTAGGGGTGATAAGACACATGTTATAATGACACCAACATAGGCAAATCTTGTCCATCAGGTAGGATGCATGCAAGAGAGTGGTCCTGTGATAGGACCATAGCAGGAAGGGGGTCCCATCCAGGTCTAGCATACCATACTTTCACTCCTTTCCCCATGGGGGTTCCTGAAGGGTCTATATATAGTGCTACTGGAGGTGCATATGCTTGACCTTTGGTGGCCACTCTGCTGTTACTCTAGGAACACACAGGAGGCCAGCTTCCAGGCCTTGTCCCCAAGGTGCCAGGAGAGCCGGCCATCATTGGTCCATGTGTCGAAAAGTCCAAGGCCACATCCAGTCAATGGAGTCTCCGGGGTTCAGTGCCGTGGGTGCTGGCAGCAACATGTTATTCTGGTGGCCGAACCTCAGCTTCAGTGATTCTTCCTTGGTTTGTACTTGCAGTTGTACAGGGGAGGCAGCCATATGTGTTAACATGTCTATGGGCTCAGGGCTCCCTTTCAGGGTCTCTCATTCAAATGCCGTAGAACGGTCCATAGGTGGACTGACCATCCCCGCAGACTTTAGTCCGGATTTTAACAAGCCATTGTGCCTCTCTATCACGCCTGCTGTGGTAGGATTGTGTGGCACATAAAACTTCCACTTGATTCCCAGCTGTCGCACCCATTCTTACAGGGCATGTCCAGTAAAATGGGTGCCCTGATCAGTCTCAATTACCTGTGGTCGGCCATAGGCAGCAAAGAGAAGCTCCAGGTCTCTTTTGGTCATCTGCTGGTCTGCACAATGGGTAGGAAAAGCACCCAGAAGTCCAATAGCTGTGTCCACACAAGTCATAGCATACCGATATCCTTCTGACACAGGTAGAGGTCCAATATAGTCTATCTGCCACCTGACAAGGGATATAGGCCCCTTAGCTATTGTCCCATGTTGCTGTGGAGCTCGATGTAAGCCCCTTTTGGAGCACATGACACACTCCTGCTGGGTTCTACCAACTTCTTCAAAGGTCAAAGGCAAGCCCCCCTGACAGGCTACAGCCCACATTGTCTTTTGCCCTGCATGCAACAGATGCTGATGTAAAACTATTGGGCTACATCAGAAGCAGGCTTTCCTTCTAACCAACATATCTGGACCAATTTATCTGCTTCATCATTTCATGGGATGCCGTGGCAAATGACCTGTCACATGGTATACCGTAATTATTTTGGACTGACCACAGGCCCATAAGTCTTGCCACAGTTCTTGTCCCCAAAGGGGTCGGTGACCAACCAGCCAGTTGGCATGGTACCAGGTTGGTAGCCACAGGGTCAAGTCCTGATAGACAGCCCAGCTGTCAGTGCAGACAACTGTAGGGGAGGGCTCCTGGCTGATCACAAGCCACACAGCCCACAACTCTGCCCATTGGCTGCTCTTCCCCTCACCATCTTCCATCCATATTGTCTCAGTCTTAGGATGGAAAGCTATGGCCCTCCATTTGGGGGGCTGCCCATGGCTGGAGCCATCTGTGTACCACGCATCTTCGGGTATAGGGGCTCTTCCCTCCCGATAGGGAATCTCTGCTACTAACGGTTCAAAAGCAAGTTCTTCCTGCTTTTCACTAGTATATGTCACCAGCCCCAACAAGCATTGGAGTTCTTCACTCAAGGGGCTACTAGAGAGGGCACTACACTGCTGTAGCTAAGCACCCCACTTGGCCAGTGTGGGCATTTGTGCCACACTCCTTGGCTTTGGGCCCAGTCTTGTACCCACCCCAAGATGGGATAGGTGGTTTTACCTTTATCAGGGCCATTCCAGAGATAGATTCTGTAGCCAGCAAGGCGTGATACATGGCAGCCATTTTTTTTTCTATCAAAGTGTATCGTACCTCTGCCCCTTTCCAGAGTTGTGACCAGAATCCAACAGGTTGGCGAGTTTGTTCAACCGCTGCCAGAGACCCCAGCCATAACCTTCTTCAGTGACATGAACATCCAGCTCACAGGGCCTTGATGGGTCTATCACACTCAAGGCCTGCACAGCCTTGACTGCCTGTTTCGCTGTAGTAAAGGCAGATGCACATGTCTCATCCCAGTCTCAACTGACGCCCTTTCGTACCAACTGGTATAAGGTCTTCAGAATTTATGCCAAGTGCGGGATAAACATTCTCCAGTAGCCTAGAAGATCCAGAAACTCCTGTAGCAATACTACAGTTCTAGGGGTAGGAAAAGCCTGGACTTTATCTATAACTGCTTCTGGTATAATGTTGGTCTTACTCAACCAGATGACCCCCAAGAATTTGACAGATAAACCAGGTCCCTGAACCTTGATATTGTGCACAGCCCATCCTTTCTCCTGTAAATGTTGCAGCAGTCTAGGTGCTGCACCTTCTACATCTGAAAGAGAATTGGATGTGAGCATGACATCATCAATATAATGGTACAGCTGCACCATTGGTGGTTTCTCCCATGCAGCCAAGTTTTGGGCTACAAGTCCGTGACAGATGGTGGGGCTGTGGAGGTATCCCTGTGGGAGGATGGTGAAAGTCCACTGCCATCCTTCCACATGAAGGCAAACTGTTCCTGACTTTCCTGCTCAATGTCAATAGAAAAGAAGCCATTAGCAAGATCTCCCACATAAGGGTATGCTCCTCGTTCACGGCTGAGGGTATCCATCAAGACTGCACTATAGGGGACAGCAGCAGGCATAGGGGGTATGACTTTATTCAGTTCTCTGTAATCCACAGTCATACGCCAGGAGCCATCTGGCGTTTTTACTGGCCACACTGGGGAATTGAAAGGACTATGGTGGCCTTTATAATACCCACCTTTCCAGCTCCTGGAGAGTTTCTCCAATCTCTTTATGCCCTCCAGGCAGTTTGTATTGTTTGGTATTAGTCACCCGCTGACACACAGGCAAAGCTATGAGCGGGTGCCTAGCATGTCCCCTCAGAACTGCCTTCACCACATGTACTCTCAGTCTGAACTCACCTGCAGCGGTCTGCAACTATAGACCCTGCAGGATATCAATCCCCAAAATATACTCAGGGATAGGAAATATATACACAGTATACTCTTGAGGGTAGATGCCCTATTCCCAAAGGGCTTTGGGCTTTTTTCACTCTGACAGCCTTACTCCCATATCCATCTGTGATAGTGGGGGTCCTGGGGAACCGCTCAGGGTTACCATGAATCAGTGAACATTCAGCCCCTGTGTCCACCAGACTGAGGGCACATTGTATATTCACTGGGAACCAATGGATAGCTATTTCAACACGTGGCCCTGGTTCCCCCCTGGTCCCTCAGGGCAGATACCATGACCTTCCCCTCAGTCAAACCATGTTCCCCAATCACCTTCCTGCGTGGGTTTCAAGTGAGGTTGGCTCACTCTCCAGCAGGAAGTCTTGCAAACACACAGGCTGGACTCGTGGCTCTGTCTCTGACCTCTGCCTCTTTGGTCTTAATGGCTGGAACTGCTGCTCTGGTTTCAGCTGTTGCCATAGCTCCAGTAAGATCCTATTGGACTTCCCACTTCCATCTGCTCCTGCCCATATTAAATGAACCCACATCTGGGTCCTCGTAACCTTCATGGGGCCCTAAATTCTTCATGTGAGTAATAGATCTTATTTCTTTCTGGGATGTCATTGCTGCAGCCTCTCCTAAGTCTGCTACTGTACATGTGTGGATAAAATGAGAGTTTCTGTGACCAGGATTCTCACCTGGCCATGGCTGACTAGTTCACTGCACACCTGTGGGCAATACATGGCTGTTGACTCTATAAAAAGAGCTCCACCCAGTGCTCTGGGTGCGACATGGTGGCAGGGCTGCAAGGCTGCAGGAGAGCAGAGCAGAGACTGGAGTGGTGGCAGCGCCAAGGACAGAGGCCCAGAGGACGGCTGTGTGGGACAACTGTGCAGAGAGGCCCAGAGGATGGCTGTGTGGGATGGCTGTGCAGAAAAGCCCAGAGGACGGCTGTGTGCACAGAGGGGCCCAGAAGCAGAGACTGGCTTGCTGCACACAGACTCGCTGAGGGAATGGGATTCTAGTGACTGACCTGCCACCTGGAAATAAAGTTGGGTATAACCCTTTCACCCCCAAGAACATTTTGCTGTCAATTTCTTTGGTCGCACTGAATCAATAGCGAACTTGCCTGGGGCTGAAACCCATTGGCAAGACAACATGTCACCTTGCCTATGGGCTGCCCTAAGTGAGGGGAAAGAATGGCCACTAGAGACCCAAAGAGGGATGTAGGAGCCGCTTGAAGTATAGTATTTCTCATCCCAGTAGTGAAAATCTCTTCATCTGGGCCATAATTATCTGGACTACAGATGGCATTTCTTATGCCTAGCTCTCGTAGCACCTGTTGGAGTTCAGCATACATCTGCCATCTAACAGGAGAGGATGGTAGGTCACCCGGATTGGGCCACACAGCATGAAGTGCAGCTATAAGCCAATCGAGGAGGGAGTGACTCCTGAGGTCCGATGTGCATTTTGTAATCACTGCCTCAAGGTGGGCTGCACTGTCAGGGAAGCCAGCTTTCCCATCTCTGATCCCGAAAGACAATTCCATCCACACCTAAGTCCCACAGATGCAGGAGCCAAGGGCTTCTGTCTAAACCGGGAGCCTAAATCCACCAGCTCAGCCTGAGTATAGGGGCGGACCATAGGGTGACCCATGACCTGGGGAGGGGGCTGCTCCTCTCCTTGGGGAACTTTCAGCTGCTGGGTCTTTATTTTTTTTTACAACCACTCGGCATGCTTACAATACAGGAGGCGCCAGTGCCTCCAGCACCACCCCTTCATCCTTCCCCAGCTCCTCCATTTCTGGGGCTGATGGCACCTTTCTCTCCCCTCCCCCAAGTGCCTCCTCTGCTACAGCCTTTACCTTTTCTACAGTGCCTCGCAGCAATGCTAGCTCAGTCCTCAGAAGGTCTCTTACCTTCAGCTCAATGCTTCGCAGCTGATGCTCTTGTGCCACCTTCACCTGTGCTTCCCTGAGGAGTTCGTCCTTTTCCTTGATGGCCTCTTCCTCCTTCAGAACACCTGGCAGCACTGCCATCTCGTTCTGTAAGGAAATTTTTACCTCTTCAATGGCACCTTGCTGCCAGTGTTCTCGTGCTTCCTCCTCTTACATCAATGCCATTTCCTTCTTCAGGGAATCCATAGAAGTTTGCAGCTTGCGTTCTTGTGCTGCCATTTCTTGGGTCTCTTCTGTAGACCTTTTTAATACTGTGAGAAGCAGCCAACCCACAGTCCCCGCTGCCTCCCAGGGACTCCGTTTCTCAGAAGACCTACTTAATATACCAAGTGTCACCCCTACTGCCTCAGGTGTCACCTCCACTTGCCACCAGTCTTGGGGTGGGGCCCAGTCTTCTAGGACGCAAGCCACCTCAGACCACATACCCATTGGGGGACAATCCACTGTCTCCCCATTCACAGGGGCAGCCCACTCAAGCACCCCTCCCATAAGGGCAGCCTGTCTTTTTCCTTGGTCAACAATGAACATTGCCGGCTTTCATCAGTTGTCTTGCCGAAAGGTTTCAGCCCTGGGAAAGTTCGCTATGAATTCAATGTGACTAAAGAAATTGACAGCAAAACGTTCTTTGGGGTGAAAGGATTTATGACCGAGCTTGTTCTCCTGGCGGTAGGTGGAGCACTAGTGTCTCTGCCTCCACCAAGAGCACTGGGCTGAGCTCTCTATATAGCGCAATAATAGCTTATTGCCTAAAGGTGTGGAAGCAGTAGCCTAGCAACAGGCCAGTTACATCATCAGGTGGTTTAAGTTCAGTGAGGATCCTGGACATAGGAACCCCAACTTCCCCACAGAGAGGTAGCCTGTAAAGGGCTGGTTTCATGAGACGGTGGTGATCTTGGTCTCAAAGGGCTGGCAGGACTTCAAAGGATCAAGGTGATAGAAGAGGGGTGGTCCCTCCAGACAAGGTATATGGGATGGGAGGGAATAAGGAATGAAAAGTGGTTAGTTGGAAAGGACAGCAGGCCAGTTGTACCAGCAGCCTAACCGAGGGTTTGAAAGGCCAAAGGAATATAAAACTCTATGCTCTACTGTACTCTACCAAATACTGCAGTAAAGGCAGTATTTGACCCTTATACTGACAGTAGAGGAATGTACATGTGGATAAACAGGTGGTAAAGTATATGGAGCAAAATACTCATTGTTGAATCTAGGTGGTAGGTATGTGAGAGTCAATGTACGAGTCCTTGTATTTTTTCTGTATGTTTGAAACAGTTCATGATTAAATGTTGGAGAGAAAATGAGTATTCACTCATTTGATATCTGCCTAATCCCTGGGTTTTGATTTTACAATCCCGTCTAAGAATGAACATACACACATGCGTGCATGTATGCACACACACACCGTGAAAATCTCTGACAAAGGAGCTATGTTTGAGACTAACGTGTTACTTCAATAATGGTGACACAACTAGTATTCCTACAGCCCTGGAAAAGTCATGATTTGTCTTAGAACCATGCATTTGGGAGACGGTAAACACTAAATGGATGACTCCCCATGATCCATCCAAACCTCTCTTGATGAGCAGCAACACAGCTAGCAGCTTGAGGAACCAAAGTCAAGTCAAGGGAAGGCCTGATTGGTGTAAAAGTACTCCATCCCCCTGTCATCTGAAGAATGGCCCTATGGCCCACGCCAACCAACAAGCCACAAGACACCTGCTGTAGGATTCTAACAAGAGACTTCATTTTTAAGATGGAGTAAGGGGAAGCCAGTACTTTTCTTGATGCTCATAAACATGGGCACAGATTACCCAAAAAAGGCAGAATCGCTTAGTTCACTGGCTTTAAGTGTGGTCCCTGAACCCACTGCACCTGCATTCCTTGGGAACTTGCCAGAAATACAAATTCTCAGGCCCTATTCCAGAACCATTCAATCAGAAATTCTGGCCTAGCAATGTTTAAGCAAGCCTTTCAGGTGATTCTGGTTCACAGCAAAGTTTGAGAAATATTCAAGTTGCTAAAAGCTCACTCGGGGGGACAGACTGTGTCCAAACGCTAGCCCTCCTTCTCTCATGACTTTACATGAGTGACATAACATCTCTGTCTCAATTTTCTAAAAATGTATATTATAATAGTACTTACTTTCTAGGGTTGTAACAAACAAAGTTGTTATTGGTAAATAATTTTTAAACCATTAAATTGGTAAACTCCTTTGTCTCTCAGGGGCACCAGCCTGCATGAGGCTGACATGTGAGCAGGGTAGACTAGAGGGATTTAAGAACCCCAGGCCTTGATAAGCTCATGAAGGTACAGGACCCAACCCTGAAGTGTGTCCTGTCTCTGGATTTCCTTTCATGGGCTCGGTTACTTATTGTTTAGAACAGCCTGAGTGACGATTCCTGTTGCTTACAGCCAAAAGCATCCCACCTGACTTGTAGATTTTTATATTGACAACCCACAGTTAATCACACTTCCCTGTTTTTATCATATACGCATTCCCCTCCGAAACTAACTCCAGCTTGGCCATGCAACATGTTTTATCCAATGGGAAATTAGCTAACAAAATATCCCCAAAGGTTTGAAAGGCATCTGGATTTGGGGCTAGCCTTCTTTCTTTCTGTGCAGGGAACCTTGAGTCCACCATGTAAATAAACTGAGCTGGCCCACTGAAGAGGTCCAACCACACGGAGAACCAAGTCCTGAGGTACCTCAACCAACCAGCCTGTCAACCACCAGACACATGAGATCATCGAGCTGCAGCCGAGCAGCCAGCTGACTGCAGACCCACGATAAGTGCACATAAATCAACAAAAGAACCCTCAGCTGTCCCAAGCACAATGCTGACCCAGTTGCTGACCCACAGAATTGCGAATAAATGATTTTCAAACCATTAAATTGGTGCAAAGAAAGCAAGTGCTGCCATAACAAATACCTAAAACATATGGCATTGGCTTTGGGAGCAGGACATGTGTCGAGTCTGGGAAAGCATCCAGGAAGCTGTTAGCAAAGGTAAGGAAAGCGGTTCACAAACTCTTACTGGAGGCTAGAAAAGTGGTGAGGACACCACTATGGCAGCTTGAAAAAGGCAACACATTTTACGCATTGGCAAAAGTACCACCTGCACTAATGTAGAAAATGGAAAAAATACCTAATGAATTCTCAGATCTGACTAAAGAGATCTCCAGAAAGCCTATTAAAAGCTTCAGCTGGATGCTTTCAGCTACATAACATACATAAAAAAGAAGAGCTAAAGAAGCAATGAAACAGTTTGTAAGCATAATGTGGAGGAAATATGGACAAGCCAAAATTTGCTGGATTGGAAAATGAAAATGTTCCACATATCCAGTCTCTCCAGGGAGCAAGAGTCTCAAAATAAGAGATGACCTCAGGGTAAAGATCAAGAGTGTGGCTGAATGAGCCAAACTTTATAACCTCTGAAAATGTTAAGGGGATGCTAGCAGACTGTAAACTAAAGGGCTTCTGAGATTCCTCCAGGCATTGTCCCACAGCCCTGATGGCCTGTCCGAAGATGAGAGGCCTATCCAGAAGAGAACTGTAGCTTTTGTTTAATAAAGGGGTCTTATAATCTGATACATGGAAAACTCAAAGAGTAAGGCTGTATGAGCTTGACTAAAAATGCTAGAGACAGTTCAAAATGAGGAGGCCTCCTGTGAGTTTCTAATTCCTCCCCTTTTTGAACTGGGAGTGTCTACGGCAGTGTTCCTGTCCATGCTGTGCCACTGGATGGTGGCTGGCATGGAGAGAAAGAAATAACTTGTCTTTTTAATATACAGTTTTCTGACTCAAAAGGAGTCTCACTGAAGAAGCTTTAACCACACCCAGGCTGGTATACACACAACACTGCACTTTGAGCCAGAGGATGAAGCTTTTAGAGATTTTGGGAGCGGGGTGAATTTATCTTGCTCATGGGAAGGATGGGAATCATTGGGGTGCAGGGTAGCTATAGTAATTGTGGATAAAATGAGAGTTCCTGTGGCCAGGATTCTCACCTGGCCCTGGTTGACTAGCTCATTGCACACCTGTGGGCAATACATGACTGTTGACTCTATATAAAGAGCTCCGCCCAGTGCTCTGGGCGTGACACAATGGCAGGGCTGCAAGGCTGCAGGAGAGCAGAGGCTGGAGTGGCAGCAGCACTGAGGACAGAGACTGGGACGGCTGTGCAGGATGACTGTGCAGAGAGGCCCAGAGGATGGCTGTGCAGGACGACTGTGCAGAGAGGCCCAGAGGACAGCTGTGTAGGGCAACTGTGTGGGATGGCTGTGCAGGCAGAGAGGCCCAGAGGACGGCTGTGTGGGATGACTGTGCAAGAGAGGCCCAGAGGACGGCTGTGCGGGACGACTGTGCAGAGAGGCCCAGAGGAGAGCTGTGTGGGGCAACTGTGTGGGATGGCTATGCAGGCAGAGAGGCCCAGAGGACAGCTGTATGGGATGACTGTGCAAGAGAGGCCCAGAGGACGGCTGTGTGGGACGACTGTGCGGGATGGCTGTGCAGGCAGACAGGCCCAGAGGACAGCTGTGTGGGACGACTGTGCAGGATGGCTGTGCAGGCAGAGAGGCCCAGAGGACAGCTGTATGGGATGACTGTGCAAGAGAGGCCCAGAGGACGGCTGTGTGGGATGACTGTGCGGGATGGCTGTGCAGGCAGACAGGCCCAGAGGACAGCTGTGTGGGACGACTGTGCAGGATGGCTGTGCAGGCAGAGAGGCCCAGAGGAGCCCAGAGGATGGCTGTGTGGACAGAGGGGCCCAGAGGCAGAGACTGGCTTGCTGCATACAGACTTGCTCTGAGTGAATGGGATTCTAGTGACTGACCTGCCACTTGGAAATAAAGTTGGGTATAACCGTTTCACCCCAAAGGGCATTCTGCTGTCAATTTTCTTTGGTCACATTGAATCCATAGCGAACTTGCCTGGGGCTGAAACCCACTGGCAAGACAGTAATGAACCCCAGTGAATCATGTCTCCCTGTGTCTACACCCTTGTGTTATTCCCTTCTACAATTCTGGACTTGGCCATGTCATGTGCTTTGGTCAAAGGGACATTAGCAAACATGACATAAGCCAAAGCTTAACAGGTGCTTGTTCACTGGGGGTGTCCTCCCTCTTGGTGGGTAGAGAAACTCAAGACCATCATTTGATCAAGCTCAAGCAGCGTCTCTGGAATGAGCCCAAGCTCACATTAATAAGAACCAAGAAAAACCAAAACACCCTTGTGGGGAAGTTAGGGTTCCCATGGCCAGGATCCTCACTAAACTTAAACCACCTGATGATGTAACTGGCCTGTTGCTAGGCTACTGCTTCCACACCCACAGGCGATAAACTATTATTGCGAATATATAGAGAGCTCGGCCCAGTGCTCTGAGCCGAGGCAGAGACGCTAGTGCTCGACCTACAGCTGGGAGAACAAACCAGGTGATAAACCCTTTCACCCCAAGAATGTTCCACTGTTATTTCTTTGGTCACATTTAATCCATAGTGAACTTACCCGGGGGCTGAAACCTATTGGCAAGACAACTGTAATCAACCAGCCTGCAAAGTGTCATGCCCAGATTGTCATCCAGCCCCAGACAAACTGTGAGCTGCCAGCGCCAACATGGCAAGCCCAAATGAAACCTGCAAAGCACCCACTGGTGCCCACTCAAAATACCTATCAAGTTGTGTGCTAACGATGATTTTGTTTTAATTAGAAAGTTTTGGCATGGTTTGCTATGCAGCAAATGCTCACTGATACACTGACAAAGCAGTCATGTTATATGAAAATACTTTGCAACTAATATCACCCTTGACGTGCTGAGATGCTCATACTGTCAGAAGCTCCTAAGATAGATTTACAGAGCAACAGATGTAGTCCTCTCATTTTATACTCAGTCCCAGGAATGAAGTCAATAGATGGCAAAGACAGATTCAGCTGAAAGACTTGAATAGGTATCTTGCTCCCCTTTTCCAGGTGAACACCTAAAATGTTATTTATCTAAGTTAAAGCTGCATGAGAGATGGCTCTACTGTGCAGGCAATAAACACATTTTGAGAATGAATAATCAGAACATCATGTCAGAACAGGACAACACATTTGAAATGAGGACTGTACTGAACATCTAAAGCACTGTCAAGAGCCACTGATCTTTGCTTCTGAACAGACACATGCAGGGGTAGCAAAGGACCATACCAACGTGTGGAAACAAATCCGGACACTACTGTGACCATTCACATGAGAGAAGAAAAAGATCTGCCCAAGTAGATCTACCCTGGGAATGTAAAACTGCAGAGTGTAGCAAGAAAAACAAAACCAACCAAACAAACAAAAATGCACAAAATAATGCAAAGACATGGTGATGGAAGAAGGGAGTCTCAAAAGAAGATGAAATAATCAATAGGATCAAATGTTTTAGAACAGCCAGGGTTCCAAATCTTAAACTAGTATGAGTGCCCACTGCTTCAAAACAGTTAAATTTTTGTTTTGACAATAAATACAAATTTATAAAAGAAATACATGCACAAAATTGATCACAGAAGCAGTATCTAAATAAATTAGTTAAATACTAGGAACGTGTTAAATATTCCCCCAAATTATGAAACTGGGGAAGGGTTCATCTATTCAATGCACTATTATAGAAATCATTTTCAGGGGGATAAATGTTGGCTATACTTCACCTATAAAAATGGGTTTGGGTAGATACAGTCACTAGCTTTGCTACATGATGTTATCATTAAAGTCTGTCAAAATGTAGGTATGAGGGGCAGAGTATGTATGTGTATGAAATTAAACCAGATCCCAATGATAAAGGAAACCCAAAATAAAATAAAAGACTCCTAAGTGCAAGCTGTACTTGACATATCACTGGTAGTCCATCAAATGTTCAACACACAACAAACATCAGCAAGTCTGTTCTATGAAATCAATGAAAACAGGCTAAAAATTAGTAACATCAGGTGGAGGCTAGCACACCTCATTTGTTATGAAATTATAATTTATCCTCTCAGGCAAAAGTCCTTAGTAGTGATACCTAATATCCTGCTGAATATTTGCTTAAACTGTTTTGTATAACCTAGATGTCATGCACATCACAGTACCTGGAAAGTCTACCCACTCCTCTGAAGTATGTGGGTTATTACATGCCTGAAATAATGTACCAAAATGAACAAAAGAAACTCTTTTGTTACATAGTTCCTTCAAATTAAGTTATTTAAGCTGTGGTTCCTCCATGCACCAAACATCTCATGTGTGTTGAGTATTCCTCTAGCACAGAGGTTTCATCTTAACTTATCCATTCAAATTCTTGTGCCCTTTGATCAGTTTTTCCTACTTTAAAAAAGTATAAAGAAAGTATTAGGGGCAGGAAAAGTTAGCTTACATAAACTTCTGGCTTTTCTCAGAAAATTAGAATACTTCCCTATTAACATTAGCAGTAGAAGAAAGTAACACAAAAGATTCAATATTACTTTAGGAAATGCCTTGAATTGGATTTCTCATGCATTCTTGGTACTAACACTTTAAAGGAATGAAGTATTTTACAAGTGAGAAAAAAATACCTCTCAAAGTTGTTCTGATGACATCCAGGAAATTGTCAGTCTCCCATGGGAGACCAGGAGTAAGAATAAAGGAAGATCTTGTTTTCTGTCTGAATTCTACTCTGATTTTTTGATAAGGATAGTTGAGGCACATCTGAAATAACTAAGTTATCACATATCAAAAATGATAGCAAACCAGCCGGGCAACTGTGCTGTCACACAATAATTGTTAATCACATTCAATTAAGTAAAGATCACCATAGTCACCATTCTAAGGGGTTGAAAGTTTCCCCTTAAGACCCCATCTGCCCATAACATTGATTTTCTTTACAGCAAAATCTTCTCAACATTCTTCAAAACCCAGCTTATCAAAGACAAAGTCTACACTCCTCACTCCTGGCCACCTAGACTCAAAGATAGAAAATGAAAATCCTTCAGGGGCCAGGTGAGTAATAAAAATGAGAAAGACAGGCACAAAGTGAGCTGGTCAATGGTTTAAACCTCAGTATGCAGAATACTGTGGAAAGTACAGCAAATAGACTCTGCAGGACAATCCAAATAATGAAGACACCTTTCAGCTCAAATTTCCTGACACCAGAGTACAGTGCAGTCTATTTTTACGTAAGCTAGCAATCTAGAATTTTTGGTGAGATCTCCCCATTGCCAGATGCTGAAATGCTCTCAAATGTAAAATTCAGGACAAACCATATTAAACTTCTCTCTGTCCCATGTATGGACAGTTAGCCTCACCAGTACATACATAAAAATCAATCTTAAATAAGTCCACTGGCCACTACAATCCTCCCAGCGTGGCAAGGACAGCGTGCCCAGTGCTCCAGCCTCAGGCTAACCATGCTTCCTGTCCTCCTCCCACTGGAGTCCTCCACCACCAACTTTCAACTTAACAAACCGTCAAGAGCAATTCAGATTGCCCTACTTCCGAACCTCTTCATTCCACAGACTTCTCTGCTGTCCTGCCTTTTATCCTTATCACTGGATAATTAAGCATGGATGTCCCGGTATTTTTATTTGAACTGCTTCGTGCGTGTTCATAATTAACAATTCCGAGGATGGCTGAGGAATGGATGGAGCAGAAACGACTGCTGAGGGAGGGCTCCGGGGAACATGAGTCACTCCTCCAGGAGCACAAAGAACTTTGCCCAATACCCAGGCAGCCTGCAGTGCAAGAAAAGGGAAGGTTTCCTTCTGTTAACAAGCCAAGATGGAATGCTAGGGAAATCTCACCTCTTTTTTGGCTTTCAGGAGCCCCGTGGCCATTTTCCCGGTCTCCTGAATGCTGTCCCTGGAGAAGGGTAAAGTCTCAGAAGATAGATCTGGGATGTGAAGAGAAATGAGAGCACGCCTAGTTGACAAGCGCCTCCCCACGAGTCAAAGCGGTCAGCTCCGGAGCCCCGCACCTGGAAGCGTCACCGACATCACCGGTACAACCCAGTTCCCGTCCAGAGCCCCGTTAAAAGGGCCCAGGGCGACCAAATACCCTCAAGCTCAACCCCAGCTCTTGCCAGGGAGAGAAGCCCATGATCCCCAGCAGCGGAGGGTTTGTGTCTAACTCTGCGCTGGAATGAAAGGATAACGGCCAGGAGATGCCAACAGGACGGCGACCGAGTTCAGAGACAGCCTGTGTCCCCGTGAGTAAAGAAAGAAAAAGCTAGAGACGTGCTGACTGGACGCGGCAGTGGCTGTAGGGCACTCACGGGTCGCGGGCTGACGTTCCGGAACCAGAGGCTGAGGCTGGGGAACAAGGTGCAGAGAGGTGCCGGGAGGCCCGAATCCGGTGGCCGAATCAACGCGCCCTCCAGCCGGGCGAGCCGGTCCGACACCGGAAGTGCTTATGGGCGGTGGCTCAGTGCGCGGAGGGGCGAGGTGAGCGAGAACGGAAGTGGCCGCAAAGGCCTCTGGAGATTGTAGTCTCTGAGCTAGAGAGGCGAAGGTGAGATGGCTTTGCAAACGCATGGTGACTCTGATAGGGGCACCTCTCATAAAATCAAGTTTAAGAACCCACTCTCAAGACGCCCAGACCTTCAGGTTCACGTTTCTCCTACAAGGGCCCCTGAACTGGGCGGACAGCGTGGCTGAAATGCGGTCCTGCCACCCTGGAAGTGGGCAGCCAGACCGTGCACGCTGACCTTAGGCGGCGCGGGTGAGCTGGGTTCACCCTGGCCAAGTCTAAACTCCATGCGCCCTTCCCACAGCGGAAACCAGAGTCCGGGCGCGCCGGGGGGCCTAAGCTGGCGGAGGTGGGCGCAGCTCTGGGCAAAGCGCAGGGTGATGTTCCGCTCGGACTCCCGGTTGGAAGCCACACCCGGCTTGCATCCCGGAGGGTAGGAAGACGCGCCAGTACTGACAGGGACCGCCAAGGCTGTTTAGGGAGAGAGTGGGATTGGCTTCGACCAATTTCCCGCTTGGTGGTGAGAGTGGTTCTGGTCTAGTGTCCCAGGATTTTGTGGGGTGGAGAGGCTGAACTTGGGGCAAAGAACAAAAGGTCCCCTGTTAGTAGTAATAGCGTGGTGAGGACTGGAGGCCTGATCCAGAAACCTTGGGGTTTTTATTGGACGCTGGAGGACAGTTGCTATTTGGAGGAAATTTCCTTGGTAGTGTTGATGGCGGGAGGTATAAAACGGATACATAATTTTAGTTTTGTTCATGGATTTTTTTGCAGTTGATTTTGATTTTTAAACATATTACATTAAAATATTTATCTTCATTAATGAGGTTTTTTTGGTGTCTCCTTAAATTTTGCAACCAAAGTTCTCTCTGTAAGAAAGGCATAAACAAATCTGACACTATATTGCTAACCTTAAAAATAAAGCTGTCAGATACTTAATAGCGAAAATCTAAAAGCTTTTCCTCTAAGATTAGGAGTAAGACAAGAATGCCAACTCTCATCACATTTATTCAACATAGTACTGGAGGGTCTAGCCACAGCAATCAGACAAAATAAATAATTTTAAAAGGCACACAAATTGCTAAGGAAGAAGCTAAACTGTAACTCTTTGCAGATGACATTGAGACAGGTGATAATAGGACACAAGAAGACAAAGTTCAGGGCCCTTGTAAGTTTCCAAAAAAAAAAAGGCCCCAATCCAACTTAGCCAGTTAGACCTCAGCTGCTCTGATCGGTTATGCCGTATGCAGATAAAATTCAGCCATCCAAAAGTATACTCAGATAGAGCTCAGCTGGTCTGATTACATCCTATGCAAATTAAGCATTGTGCTTTTACCCAATCAGGAATGACTGTGATGTCATTACTTCAGTTCTCTATGGGGATTGGAGGTGGGGAGTAGGACTTCATCCTAGCAGGAGGCAATATAAACCCAAGACACCACAGCCCTGAGGGCATCTTCTCTTCCAGCCCCTCCTTATTAGCAGGAACTTTCTCTTTTCACTCATTAAAAGAGCTTTGTTGGTTGCTCCATACTCTTTGTCTGCTGGCTTCATTCTTCATTGCCTCCAAGATATGATCCTTGGAAAACCAGCGTTATGGCCAATAACAATGTGATATTATACAGAGAAAACCCTAAAGACTCTACCAAAAAATTACTAGAACTAATAACTGAATTCAGCAAAGGTTGCAGGACACAAAATTAATACACACAAATCTGTGCTTTCCTACATACTAACAATGAACTACCAGAAGGAGAAATAGGAAAACAACCCCATTTACAAGTACGTGAAAAAGAATAAAATAACTAGGAACCTAACCAAGGAGGTGAAAGATCTGTACTTTGAAATCTGTAAGACACTCATAAGAGAAATTAAAGAAGACAGCAACAAATGGAAATCTACCCTGTGCTCATGGATAGGAAGAATTAATATTGCCAAAATGATCATCCTTCCCAAAGCAATTTACAAGTTCAATGCAATTCCTATCAAAATACCAACAGCACTTTTAAATCAAAGAGAACAAATAGTTCTAAACCTCATATGGAACCACAAAAGACCATAAATAGCCAAAGCAATCCTTAGAAACAGGAACACTTGGGGTTATTACACTCCCTAACTTCAAACTCTACTACAAAGCTACAGTAATCCAAACAGTTTGGTACTGGCACAACAAAAGACCTATAGATCAATGGAACAGAATAGAGAGCCCAGATATAAATCTACCTATACATGGTTAATTATATGGGATAAAGAAGCCATGAATATACAATGGGGGGAAAAACAGCCTCTTCAACAACTGCTGTTGGGAAAACTGGACAGCTACATGCAAAAGAATGAAAGTGGACTATTGTCTAACTCCATACACAAAAGTAAACTCAAAATGGATCAAAGTCATGAATCTAAGTCAAGAAACCATAAAACACTTAGAAGAAAACATAGGCAAAAATCTCTTGAACATAAGCATGAGCAATTTTTTCCTGGACACTTATTCTCAGGCATGAGAAACAAAATAAAAAATGAACAAGTGGGATTACACCAAAAGAAACCACCAGCAGAACAAAAAGGCAAACTACAGTATGTGAGAACAAATTCATAAAAGATTCATCTGATTAAGGGTTAACATGCAAAGTATATAAAGAACTCATATGCCTCAATAAACAAAAAACAAATAACCTGATTAAAAAATGGGTGGAGGATCTGAACAGACATTTCTCCAAAGAGGAAATACAAAGGGCCAAACGGCACATGAAAAGATGCTCCACATCGCTAATCATCAGGGAAATGCAAGTCAAAACCACAATGAGATATGACCTTACTCTAGTCAAAATGAACAAGAAATGACAAATGCTGGCAGGATGTGGAGAAATGGGAACCCTCCTACACTGTGGGTGGCAGAGTAAATTGGTGCAACCACCATGGGAAGCAATATGGAGGTTCCTCAAAAAACTAAAAATAGAAATACCATTTGACCCAGTAATCCCACTTATAGGAATTTACCCAAAGAGAACAAAACCCCTGATTTGAAAAGATATATTTACCCCTGTTTATCACCGCACTATTTGCCATACCAAAATACAGAAGCAACCTAAGTGTCCATCAGTAGATGAATAAAAGATGAAGAAGATGTGGTTCATATACACAGTGGCATATTATTCAGCCATAAAAAGAAAAGAAATCCTTCCATTTGCCACAACATGAAGAGCTAGAGGATATTATGCTCAGTGAAATAAGCCAGGCGGAGAAAGACAAATACCATGTGACTTCACTTATTTTGGAATATAAAAACAAAGTAAAACAGAAAGAACAAAACAACATTAGACTGATAGACACTAAGAAGTCAGTAGAGGTTACTAAGGGGAGGGGTTGACATGGGTGATAGGGGAAGGGGAGGGGGAAAAAGGGGCACAATAATTCACAATCACAATATAAGTTTGGTCACAGGGATGTAGTATATAGCATGGAGACTATAGTCAATGATTCTGTAACATTTTTCTACATTGATAGATAGTAACCACACTAGAGGGGGTGAAGATTTAATATGGGTAACTGCTGAACCACTGTGTTGTACATTTGAAACCATTATAAGATTGTTTATTGATGATACTTCAATAAAAAAATAAAAATAAAGCTGTCAGTTATTTTACCAGAAAAATGGGTCTATTCAGAAAAAGAAGAGAATTGCAATTCAAGAGAAGCAAGCTATTGCAAAGCCGTAGGCAGTCTAGAGAACAGAGTGGAGACTCTTACAAAAGAGAATGGGGAGTGTTCTAAGTAAAAAGTCCATTGGAGGAAACTGGTAGTCCCATGTGCTGTGTAACAGTTGCTCATTAGTTGAGGTATTGCTGGAGGCAGAACTCTTGCCTCCTCCTCCACGGTGGTGAAGTAGCCAAAACAGTAGAGTTGCAAAGGGTCCTCTCCTTGGGGGGTCTGCAATTGACAGGGAGTGATGGGCATGGGAGCGCCCCCTGCAGGCCTCCACACATCATGTCTGTGAGGTTTCCCTTTACCAATTTTTACAATACAAATCTCACTGGTACCCATACGCCTGTAGCCTTGATAGAGGTGAGGGCCTAGCTTCTGGGTATTAAGTAGCCATAGAGACATTCAGGATTATATCTTGAATTGCTGAATTGTGAGTGATCTTACCTTTTCTTTCGTTCCTTAATATCCACAGCTTCCTGTTAACCACCTCTCCCAAGCCCCACCAGAACCTATCATGGTGCAGACATTAAAAGATTTCTCTTAAATAGTCACACATGCTTCTAGAATCTCTTCCAATATTCCTTCACCTGGAAAGGTAGAAAACAAGGTTTGCATGTTAGTATCAGCCTCCCCTATTGAATGGGTGTGAAAGAAGTCCTAGGCAAAGTGTGCCACCTGGACTGGGATAGGGCCCTAGGCCGATCCCCCTTGAATCACTGTAAATTGTGAAATGCTTGTAACAGAACTCAGAGGGAACCAAAGTCAGGCATGGGGTTGTGAGGAGCACAAATGAAATGCAGAGACTGAAAAACTTGAGGGAATTGGGGAGGAGGAGGGAACCAGAGGTGGGATCCTGAGATAATCAGGATCCCTGTCTCAGGATCCCTGTATGTAGACGTGTGTATATTGATGAGAGACCCACGCTGATAGATTATCTATAATAAACATAATATAACAGCAGGTGATAATGGGACTCTGGCAACTTTGTCCCCTCAGGGGGGTGGAGGGAGCTGGAGGCTGAATCAATAGCCAACGGCAATGATTTTATCAATCATGTCTATGTAGTGAAGCCTCTATAAAAACCAAGAAAGGGTTCAGAGAGCTTCAGGGCTGGTGGAGATTCAGAGAGTGGCACGCTTACAGAGCTTTGCACCCCTTCCCCATACCTTACCCTATGCATCTCTTACACCTGGCTCTTCCTAAATTATATCCTTTTATAATAAACTGGTAATATAGTAAATAAAATGTTTCTCTGAATTCTGTGACAATTTAACAAATTTGAGCAAATTAAATCTGAGGAGGGAGGTCATTCGAACCTCCAACCTATAGCTGGTATTTCGGAGCCCAGGCGGCAACCTAGACTTGTGATTAGCATCTTGAATGGCGGATGGGAGGAGTCTTGAGCCCTTAACCTGTGGAATCGGTTGATGTCTACACGTAGATTGAGTTGAACTGCAGGACACTCAGCTGGTATCCAAGAACTGCTTGGATGTGTTGGGGAAAACCCCACACGCTGGAATTGGGGAACGTGGAACTCCTTTACCCTAGACCTGAGTTTCTCGCTTCCCTGCGACCTAAAACTGCCGGCTATTCCCGCCACCCTCAGGCCGTAAGATTGAGGGACTCACCTCTCCAGATGTGCGCGTGTATGTCTCAGGCCCCAGGCCGCCACGGTGCCTTCCCGGATCGCGGTGCAGCGGAAGACCTGCTCTGCCCTCCTGCGCCGCCAAGAAGGCCAACCCGCGCCGCCCGCGCGCAGAGAGGTGCCGGGGCCGAGCAGGGGGACGGGGGAGGCGGGGTGGTGTGGGTGTGGGGGGGGCGAGAACCTCATTTCCCAGAAGCCCCTGCGAAGGCCGGGGGCGCGACCGAAGTCCCGCCCCAAGGTGCGGCGGGGCCGTGGAGAGGCCGCTACAGGTGAGCTCAGAGTCTCACCTGGGGGCATCTCTCTTGCGGAGGCTGGGCGCCCAAACCCCATAACACTGGAGCCTCCACGCGCTGTCCACAGTCAGGAATAAACAATGCCTCTAATTTCTCCATTCAGACATAGCTATATTTAAGCTTGTATCATTTCATATATGTCTTCCTAAGCCGCTTTTAAAACCAAATAGATGTTGAACATTATGTTCTTCCTGCAATATTTTTAAACTTTTACATGTTATGTATGTAATTAATGTCTTGTCGTGTTATCGACGGGTTGTTTCAAATTACTGGCGCTACAGCTACTATCAGCTGTGTTTGGCAGAGACTCCAAAGCATGCAGGAGAGCGGAATGAAAAAGGGCCGTCTCTAGGGTTGCTCTGATGGGAGGTCACTGGCATAGAGAAGCCGGAGGTGGGCTTAACTAGGAGCAGTGCATCTTATGTTACTGATTTGGGAATTGGTATGGGCTTTCTCTGGTTGGTCGTGAACTGGAAGCACAGGCAAAAGAAAACACAAAAAACAGGGAAGCTGGCCGTCACCAAGTCCTGAGTGTTTCAAACTGATTGCTGCCAAGGTTGTAGCTTGGTTTCCTTCCCGAAAACGAGGTGGTTGCCACAGTTTATGGGTCAGAGTTCTATTGTCATGTGTCATGAATGAGTTGGCATTGTCTTTACATTCAATGTCTCTAGGTTAATGGTTTCAAACAACAGCTATCATTGATTAACTTCCATGGTTTATCTGGGTCAGGAATTCAGAATCAGACTGGCTGGACAGTTCTGACTCAGGACTTCATGATAGCTGAACCTGGAACAGTGTGAAGTTCCAGAGCAACTGGACATCTCTCTTATTTCATGTAATACCAGTGTTTCTCCATATGGTCTTTCCATGGGTCTAGTCTGGTCGCCTTAACCAGCATGGTAGCCTCAGACATCTTACATTGCAGCTCAAGGTTCTAAGGCAAGAGTCGCAAGAAATACCCAGATGGAAGCTGGCCCCTTGGCCAAAGCAAGTCACATGGGCAAATCCAAAATCAAGAGCAGAAAAAGCTATCTCCTACACAATGTGCTTCTGGCAAGAGTGTTGTGGCTGCTTATTTTTTCCAAATAGTCACAATCTCCCCATCTCACACATGTTCTTTGAGTTGGGGAGAAAGCCAATGGTCCCTCCTCTTGAATCTTGTTGAGCCTGTGGTGGGAAATGAAAGCATATTACTTCTAAGGCTAAGTCATAAAGGCAATGTAAGCAGGTGCCAACTACAGAGTCCCTAAAGCAGCATATTTGCTCTGTTGGCTGGCTGGCTATTGGGGGTTCAGCCTGGGGGACCTGAATCAGACCCCACACCCTGGCGCCTGGGCCATGGCTGCAGCAAGGAGATGCGCCAGGGCAACCTAGCTACAGGGCTCTTGAGTGACAGGTTTTAGGGGCCGCTACTCTGCTCAGAGTTAGGTCTCACCCGGCCCTATATTGTTCTCTGTGTATGTTGGAAGAATACATTTTGGAGCATCTAACTTAGCCTCTGGGTGAAATCTGGCTTTTATTCATGAATGACTTCTCCTTGACAGAAGTATTTCAAAAGAAAAATCTTTACAATGATCTCTGTTCCCACCACCGCTCCCTGTTTTGTCCTGTTACAAGTGGAGAATGACTGTGGTTCTAATTCTGAGCCTGGAAAAGGCAAAGATTGGAACACTGGAAATACTTTGGGAAGGAAATCAACTACAAATGAGAAAAGGAGAGAAAAAAAGGAACAGCAAGAGAGTGAAGTGTATGAGCCCAGGAATTGTGCTTCTGAGAAAATTCTTAAGCAATTCTCCCATGCCGTGTGTAATGCTCAACATGAGCTTTCGTTGTTAAACCCAGCACTGAAGAATTCAGGAGAAAACTGGCAAGAGTGGAGACAAAAATGGCATCTGAAATGTTTGAAGTGAAGCTTGAGAAGGCATCTAACTTATAGTTAGAATATGGAAGGGCACAAAAAAGGAGTAAGGAATGTTGAAAATGCTTAAGTCAATCACAGGGTCTAAATAAAAATGATGAGTTAATTATACCTCAATGAAACTGGAGAAAATAAAATGAAAAGTTTCTTAAAAGAATTGTCAGGGTAAAAGGTAAACCTCTTACAGTATCATTAAAAGAATGCCACTCTGAAGACCTGTCTTAGTTTGGGCAACTATAACAAAATAGCACAGCATTTTTTAATAAATTATAGATTTATTATAAATTATACATTATATTTTATAATATAAACTTATTACAAATTTAATAGAAAATAAATATAAATTTATTTTATAAGTATTATAAATTGCTATTTATAAAGAGAAACTTATTCCTTACAGTTCTCAAGTCTGGAAATTTGAGACTGGAGCACCAGCACAATTGGAAGAGGGCTTTCCTCCAGGTCACAGAGATCTCATTGTATCTTCAAGAGAATTCATAAAATTATTAGAGAATACAAGAGAACAACTTATAGGGTACAATGGAACAGATCATTGTGCTACTCATGAATACAACCAGGAAGTGGTCCTGAAACATGTAAGATTGAAAGACTGATGAAGATTGAACGTGGAAAGATGCTACAACCTAGAAGATACCAGTACAACTTCTTTGTTCCTGCACCTTTCTGTCTCTAAAATCTCTTCCTTAGTATAGTTGTCCTAGCTCCTTTCTACCCGCTAGATTGGAGGTCCCCAATTCATGACTCCTTGAATAAAACCAAACTTTTTTACCCAGTTTTTTTCTTAACACAGCAGCAGTCTCTAGCTGCCTGGTACCAGGCCCTGGGATGATTCAGAGCAAGGGAACTACTGCCTTGGGATGTTTGTATATGAAGGACATGGTTTGGTTGGTTTGTATATGAAAAGCATGCTTCTGGCCAAGACCCTGCTATCACTAAGTATTGGCCAGACATTGGAAGGAGGTCTGTAATGCCCCCAAATGCCAGAGCACCAAGACCACAGAAAATAAGAAAGTACAGGTAATATAAATGGCTTTGTGATGAGTGGATGGCAAACTGACAAACAGAATCTAAGAAAACATATGTACAATAGAATAACACTAATAAAAATGAATTAATTATCAATATGTGTAACAACTTGGATAGAACTGAAGGGCACTATGCTTAATGAAAAAAAAGCCATATTAAAAGGGACATTTTGTGCGATTCCATTTATAGAACATCTTCAATTGACAAAACTACAGACAGAACAGATTAATAGTTGTCAGGGGACAGGGACATGGGTGGAGTTGTATGGGTTTGACTATTAGGAATTTAAACTGTATTGGGAAAGACAGACATTTAAACTCTGATGCAGTGGAAAAAATTGAGGTTGGGACTCAGCTAAGAACTTGGTTCAAATTCTGATTGTATTATAAAGCATATTAGTGATGTGGCCTGAAACATTTCAGTTTTTGCTCTGCAAGCTTCATTTTCCTTATCAGTAAGAAGAGAATTAAAAGCTCTTCTTTCTGTTCGTTAACAAGAATTAGTTTATGTAAAGGACTAGCAAGACTCTGCAAAAGGCAACTTCATAACAAATTATAGAAAGAAAAATGGAATGCAGCCAAAGGAAACAAACAATTTGGTGTGGGAGGGCAAGGATAGAAATGTGTAGTCATGATTTGAGGAGAGGAATCAGTGCATGGGGGTATTAGAAATAGACTGTAAGGATAATATTTTAGGTGGAAAAGAATGCAAAGGAGGCATATTCAGAACTTTTGGGCCAAGTGTTGGTCGAGGAGGCTGGGAGAATTGAAAAGGACGCTGTATACAGAGTTTGAGGGCTCATGTTGGGATTAAATAACATCAAAGGAATATTACAACACTGAAGCAAAGATAGCACTTATCTTCTAAAAGCTTATGATCAAATATGGTTTAAGTCAAAAATACTGAAAGGAATGATGCTTATGATAATTTCTTCCAAGTTTAGATTGACAGATAAATTTCAGGATGTCAAGTTGTTTTAGTTTCAGCTAAATAATGAATAAGTTTTTAGTATAAGTATTTCCCCAACAAAAAATATTTATTTGAAATTCAAATTTAACTAGGAGATCTGTATTTTTTTGCTAAATGTGGCAACCCTATCTCAAGTCAACAGCTGTCAAATGAAATGCTAATATTTATGGACTTGTGGATGCATTCACCCACCCAGGAAGGACTAGATTAGTCAAGGTTTCATAATTCTCCAGAAGAATCACCTGGAGATTTTAAAAAATAAGTTGTTCCCCAGATTTACATCCACAGAGGTGGATTTATACAAGGATAGGATAATTAGGGCCCATGCCATCAGTTTGAATTCTTATCTAGTCCTCAGCTCTGCAAGCCCTCAAAACAATCATTTTTCTAAGAGGTTTTAGGTAATAAGCAGCTAAGTTATTAACAGCATGTATGATCTTTTGCAAAGTTAAACTTCTTTGAACCTCTGTATATTCTACCTCATAGAATGCATGATTACGGATGAAGCAAATTACATAAAAATGCTCAATGAATGATAAAGCCTGACAGAGATCTAATTTGTTATGAATGCTGACTAAATTTGCAGTGAAGGCATAATAAAGCTGCAGAAGATTGCTTGAAGTACCAAAATAAGGACAAACTCTCCATTTGTAAGACTTTCTTGTATCTCGAGTCCAAGCACTCATTTCCTAAACACAGAATAAACAGTCACAATTTTTTGTTTATTAGCTACAGTATAATTCAAATTCTGCTAGGTACCATCTATAATGCTTTCACTTTAGATTTTTCTTTGGTAACAGCATGAAGTGGTCATCTATAAAGTTAGTTCATTCTTGATACTTCGTGATTCTCAACTTGTGGAAGTATTTCTGCCTACCTTTTATTTTGCCTTCTGAAGCATTTTCAATAACCATGTGCTTCTTGCGCCTTTACTTCTTTATACTTTGTTTTCCATTCAAGTGATCACATTTTTCATAAGACAAGAAAGAAGAAGAGTAATGACGAAGGGATAACTAGAACACTCATCATAGGTAGTATATTTAAACTCAAATATACACATAATTATCTTAAATATAAATGGACTGAGTATTCCAATTAAAAGACAAAAATCATTGGTAAATTTTCAAAATTCCAATTTTATGTTGCTTACAACAGACAGGACTTAAGGGTAAGTATTCAGAAAGGTTTAAAACAAGCAGATGGGAAAAAGTATACCATGCACTCGGTAAGCAAAAATAGACCAGTGTTGGTATACAAATATCAGATAACATTGCCATTAATGTGGAAAGTATTATTAGAACTAAAATAGAGACATTTTCACAATGATAAAGAGATCAGTCCACCAGGAAGATCTAACAATTTGTATGTTCTTAATCCTATGGACTCACAACATTGAAAGCAAAAACTGACGAATCTAAAAGTAGAAACACACACACCCACAATAATGAAACGGAGATTTTAAACACATTTCTTTCAGCAGCTGACAGAAAAAGCTGACCAAAAAATAAGCAAGGCTTTAGAAGATCTGAACCACGTGATAACAAACTTGACTTGACACATACAGAACACTGAACAGAAGTGCACACAGAACATTTTCATACTGACCATATTGCTTGTCATTAAGTGAATATAAAAATAGTTTTCAAATTGAAACTATCCTGAGTATACTCTCTGATCACAATGGACTTAAGCTAGAAATCAAGATGATGATGATGAATTTGAAATCTCAAATTTAGTTTAAACAATATAATTCTTTTAAAAGCCTATGGATGGAGGAGCCAAGATGGTGGCGTGAGTAGGGCAGCAGAAATCTCCTTCCAAAATCAACAATACAACAAATACAACTATTCCTAAAAGAGAGACCAGAGGATACAGTACAACAGCCGGGCTACATCTACAACTGTGGGAACTCAGCATCTCATGAAGGGGGGAAAATACAAACCACAGCCCAGCGGGACCTGAGCGCTCTCCCCATCCCAGCTCCCTGGTGGGAGGAAAGGAGTCGGAGTGGACAGGGAGTGGAAGTGCAGGACTGCTAAATAACCAGCACTAGTAATCTGCACAAGGAGCACAGACACACATTGCATGCTGTGCTGTAGTATATTAGAGAACGGAAAAGTAAAATCTGTTAGCGGGTCCCTGCAGCTGGCTCCCCTGGGACAAAAGAAAAGCAAGTGCTTTTTGAAAGTCTTAAAGGGACAGGGGCCTCACAGGTGGATGGAAGCATCCCAGCACACTCAGCTGAGCAGCTGGGAATCCCGGGGAACTTCAGGCGCCCCAGCCCCGTGGGAAGCAATGCATCCCTGAGGCTCCTCACAGTGATAAAAAGCCTGCCAGTTGTTCCCCCTCCAGTGCAGCCCCACCATGGCAGCCAAGAAGCCAGAGAGTGGCCCCGCATGGGCATGCAGTGGCCAAGCAGCCAGGGAGTGGCCGCATGTGCGCACACAGCGGCGGAACAGCCAGAGAGCAGCTGAGCCCACAGCAAACAACCAGAATCTCCTCCCAGCATGCAGCCACCCAGACCACACACAGAGTCCAGCATTGATACGCAACTCCCCAACACAGACAGAGGAAACATGGGCAAGGAGCAAAGGGGTGTCGTTCTCACAAGAGAGCACAAACGGCGTGCCTGCCACTCCCTGCATGGATCTGGGCTACCCTGACAGGGACCCCGTGCATGGCACCTTAGGGGATTAATCCAGAGGCTGTGCCAGGTGTGTGGGTAACTGACACAGGCAGTGGAGAAGGGCAAGGCAACCAGCAAGAAGGAAACGATTTTGTTCTCCCAGCTGACACACACACTACATACCTACAACTACCTTTATCACCATGAAAAGGCAGAAGAATTTGGTCCAGTGCAGAATTACCAAGACAACCCTGAGGAGAGGGCCTGGGGAGACAGATGTAACCAATCTTCCTGAAAGAGAATTCAAAATAAAGGTCATAACGATGATGACAGAGCTGCAGAGAAATATGCAAGAGCTAAAGGATAAAGTGGGTAGGGAGAATACAGAAATAAAACAATCTCTGGAAGGACTTAAGTACAGACTGGATGAGGTGCAAGAGGCCATTAATGGAATAGAAATCAGAGAACAGGAACATAGGAAACCTGAGGCAGAGAGAGATAAAAGGATCTCCAGGAATGAAAGAATATTAAGAGAATTGTGTGACCTATCCAAATGGAACAATGTTCGCATTATAGGAGTACCAGAAGAAGAGAGAGAAAAAGGGATAGGAAGTGTCTTTGAAGAAATAATTGCTGAAAACTTCCCCAAACTGGGGGAGTAAATAGTCTCTCAGACCACAGAAGCCCACAGAAATCCCAACACAAGGGACCCAAGGAGGACAACACTATAATAATTAAAGACATATAATAATTGAATATGTAAGACATATAATAATTAAAATGGGAAAGTTCAAAGACAAGGACAGAGTATTAAAGGCAGCCAAAAAGGTCACCTACAAAGGAAAACCCATCAGGCTATCATCAGACTTCTCAATAGAAACCATATAGGCCAGAAGAGAATGGCATGATATATTTAATGCAATGAAACAGAAGGGCCTTGAACCAAGAATACTGTATCCAGCATGACTATCATTTAAATATGAAGGAGGGATTAAACAATTCCCAGATAAGCAAAAGCTGGGGGAATTTGCCTCCCACAAACCACCTCTACAGGATGTTTTAAAGGGACTGCTCTAGATGGAAGCACTCCTAAGGCTAAATAGATGTCAACAGAGAATATAAAATCACAACAAAGAAAGCAGACCAACCAAATACTAACAAAAGGCAAAAACTAAAACCAACTATTCACAAAAGCAGTGAAAGGAAACACAAAACAGTACAGAATACAACACCTAACATATAAAGAATAGAGGGTGAGGAATAAGAAGGGAGAGAAATAAAGAATCATTAGACTGTGTTTATAATAGCTTAATAAGAGAGTTAAGTTAGGCACTTAGATAGTAAAGAAGCTACCCTTGAACCTTTGGTAACCACAAATCTAAAGCCTGCAATGCCAATAAGTACATATCTTTCAATAATCACCCTAAATGTAAATGGACTGAATGCACCAATCAAAAGACACAGAGTAAAAGAATGGATAATAAAGCAAGACCCATCTATATGCTGCTTACAAGAGATTCACCTCAAACCCAAAGACATGCACAGACTTAAAGTCAGGGGATGGAAAAAGATATTTCATGCAAACAACAGTGAGAAAAAAGCAGGTGTTGCAGTACTTGTATCAGACAAAATAGACTTCAAAACAAAGAAAGTAACAAGAGATAAAGAAGGACATTACATAATGATAAAGGGCTCAGTCCAACAAGAGGATATAACCATTATAAATATATATGCACCCAATACAGGAGCACCAACATATGTGAAACAAATACTAACAGAATTAAAGGAGGAAATAGAATGCAATACATTCATTCTAGGAGACTTCAACACACCACTCACTCCAAAGAACAGATCCACCAGACAGAAAATAAGTAAGTACAAAGAGGCACTGAACAACACACTAGAACAGATGGACTTAACAGACATCTACAGAACTCTACACTCAAAAGCAGCAGGAAACACATTCTCCTTAAGTGCACATGGAACATTTTCCAGAATAGACCACATACGAGGCCACATAAAGAGCTCAGTAAATTTAAAAAGACTGAAATTCTACCAACCAACTTCTCAGACTACAAAGGCATAAGACTAGAAACAAATTGTACAAAGAAAACAAAAAGGCTCACAAATACATGGAAGCTTAACAACATGCTCCTAAATAATCAATGGATCAATGACCAAATGAAAACATAGATCAACCAATATATGGCAACAAATGACAACAACAGCACAAAGCCCCAACTTCTGTGGGATGCAATGAAGACAGTTCTAAGAGGAAAGTATGTAAGAATCCAGGCCTATTTAAAGAAGGAAGAACAATCCCAAATGAATAGTCTAAAGTCACAATTATTGAAACTGGAAAAAGAAGAACAAATGAGGTCCAAAGTCAGCAGAAGGAGGGACATAATAAAGATCGGAGAAGAAATAAATAAACTTGGGAAGAACAAAACAATAGAAAAAAAATCAATGAAACCAAGAGCTGGTTCTTTGAGAAAATAAAATAGATAAGCCCCTAGCTAGACTTATTAAGAGAAAAAGAGAATCTACACACATCAACAGAATTAGTAGTGAGAAAGGAAAAATCACAACGGACCCCACAGAAATACAAAAAATTATTAGAGAATACTATGAAAATCTATATGCTGACAAGCTGGAAAACCTAGAAGAAATGGACAACTTCCTAGAAAAATACAACCTTCCAAGACTGACCAAGGAAGAAAAAGAAAATCTAAACAGACCAATTACCAGCAAGGAAATTGAATTGGTAATCAAAAAACTACCCAAGAACAAAACCCCTGGGGCAGATGGATTCAGCACTTAATTTTATCAGACATATAGAGAAAATATAATACCCATTCTCCTTAAAGTTTTCTAAAACAGAGAAAAGAGGGAATACTTCTAAACTCATTCTACGAAGCCAGCATCACTCTAATACCAAAACCAGGCAAAGACCCCACAAAAAAAGAAAATTACAGACCAATACCTCTGATGAACATAGATGCAGAAGTACTCAACAAAATATTAGCAAACCAAATTAAAAAATACATCAAGAGTATCATACACCATGATCAAGTGGGATTCATCCCAGGGATGCAAGGATGGTACAACATTCAAAAGTCCATCAACATCATCCACCACATAAACAAAAAGGACAAAAACCACATGATCATCTCCATAGATGCTGAAAAAGCATTCAACAAAATTCAACATCCATTCATGATAAAAACTCTCAACAAAATGGATATACAGGGCAAGTACCTCAATAT